TTCTGTCTGACTCTACCACTTCTTAATTAGTCAGTACTTATGCTCTGCAACTGTCTTCTCACCTATAAACCAACATTAAGCGGGTTAAATGTAACAAAGTCAAAAGTGTTTAGGCAATGCCTCCACATTATAATCAAACTAAGAATGTGACTACACAATAGCGAGCATATCAGACAAGATCCTTAACCGATCTTGATCACTTTGGGGCTATTATGTTTTATCCTCATGTGCTCCTTCCCTCAAGGACCTTCTAATCTTTTATCTTTTTAAATAGAATACACTTCATGCTTGTTGAATTTATTACTTTGTAAATGTTTCCCCTTTTACTTTTGAGCTCTCCTAAGTAGGCCCAGCTCAGAGACACAGACCAATTTCTTCTGAAATTCAGGTTTAACACTTAAAGACCCCCCACCCCCCAACTGAGCACTGATATCACAAAACTCAATAAAATATATTAAATAAATAAATAAATAAATAAATAAATAAATAAATAAAATAAAAAAAGAGTGAAGGCAAAAAAAAAAATGTACGTCCTGATAAAGCAATTTTACAGGTCTGTTGAGATAGTAATTAGGAAAATCAGACTGATTAAAAAATAGAAACAACTTAAATGCTCAGTAATAGAAAAGGGGTTAAATTAATGATGCATGCCTATTGGATAGAATATTACGAACCCTTAAAAGAATGATGTCTTCAAAATAAGAGTTCCAAGTATAGAAAATGTTTTATATAGAACACAGATATTATATAAAAATGATTCTATATAGAAAAAAGAAATCCTATATAATAAAGAGGTAATATGCAAATTGACCCTCATGCCCTCACAAGATAGCTGCCTACAACCAGGCCAGCAGGGGGGTTAGTGAGGGATGATCAAATGATTGAACAAGCAGGCTGTGTGGAGTGACCAGGCCAGTGGGGTGGGGGCAGTTAAGAGTGACCAGGCCAGCAGGGGGGCAGTTGGGGGTGACCAGGCTGGAGGGGGGGCAGTAAGAGGTGACCAGGCTGGCCGTGGGGGGGAGTGAGGGGCAACTAGTCTGGCAGGGGGGTCAGTTAGGGGCAACCAGGCTGGCAGAGGAGGGCAGTTGGGGGCAAACTGGCTGGCAGCAAGGGGCAGTTAGGGGTGAACAGGCCAGCATGGGGGGCAGTCAGGGGTGATTAGGCTGGCACGTAGAAGCAGTTAAGGGTGATCAGGCTGGCACGCAGAGGCAGTGAAGGGCGATCAGGCCAGCAAGGGGGGCAATTAGGGGCAACCAGGCAGGCAGGCAGGTGAACGATTAGGAGCCAGCGGTCCAGGATTGTGAGAGGGCAGTCAGACATCCCCTGAGGGGGTCCCAGATTAGAGAGGGTGCAGGCTGGGCTGAGGGACCCCATACACACACACACACAAATTTCATGCACCGGGCCTCTAGTCAATTATATAAAAGACTAGAAGGACTAAATAGAAATATTTGGTAAATTACTAATTTATTTATTGTTGATTATTATAAATTAGTGATTACTGGTGATTTGGGCTTTTACCTTCCTATGTTTTCATGGTAGACATTTTATATGTCAAGCATGTGTGCTACAATTGGAAAAAACCCACTTGTATTTTAAAAAAACCTGGTGACTACTGACATGGGCCATTATTGTTATGGTTACTCTCAGATCTTATGAAACCACAATCCCTCACTTGTCAGATTACAGCAGTTCAAATATCTATCATCTTTTTCTAGAGGGCTCTGAACTCATCCTCTGGTCTCACACATGAAATATTAAACTCAGAAACAAAAAACAGTATATTAGTAAGAAAATATAAGCCCTGGGCAAGGACCGAAGAGCTCTCAGGAATGAGGCACTGAGCGTTAGTTCAGCCCTTGCTTTACATGACTTGCCGATTGAACATTCCCAGCCTTTGTGTATTTCACCGCAGATCTCAGACCTCCAACATCCCAGGTAACCATTTAGCTGACTACACCTGTGTGAGAAACTGGTCCTTCACAGCCTATGTGCTAAAGTGTGTTTTATGTACATAACAGAGTATAGTAAATATATCTTTACTTAAATTTATATTTATTATTCATGTGATCTTCTTGTAGGCCGATCAAATGAAGAGGAAGAAACTTCTGATTCTTCTTTAGAAAAGCAGACTCAACCTAAACACTGCACAGAAACCTCAGGTATCCATGGTGACTCATCTTACAGTTCAGGTATGGACACCCAGGGTCTTGAGTCCAAAGCTGAAAGGATTGCAAGGTACAAAGCGGAGAGGAGACGGCAACTGGCAGAAAAATATGGGCTAGCTCTGGATTCTGAAGCAGACTCCGAATCTTTGTCTCGATATACCAAGTCCAGGAGGGAGCCAGATGCTGTTGAGAAAAGGGGAGGAAAAAGTGACAGGCCGGCTGAGTCAAGCAAAGATTTCAGTTCTCTGTACTCCAGCACTGAGATCCCAAGGCTCAAGACCTGTGTGGCTGAATCCCAGGACTATGCCCTCCATGCCAGGGACGGTGTTTCCAACACAGAGGTGCTGCTAAACATGGAAAACCAAAGACGAGATCAAGAGCTGAATGCCACTGGGCAGCAGGCCCTGGACCTGCCCCCCACAGTTGAGAGTTCCTCATCCTTCCAGTTTTGCGGGCAAGACTGCTCCTTCAGTGAGGTGCCAAAGTCCCCAAAGCAAATGCGCAGCATGCCCCTCTCTTCACCTGGGCAGCCAGCATCCCCAAGCCACTCTGGTGACTCGCCACTCCCCGCTGAAGCTCGATCAAGGTAAGCATTCAGCCCTACTGACCACTTGTCTTCCCATGGCCTGAAAGGTCTTATAGTCTGGGTATTTCTGGCATTATTTGGAAGCTGGGCTCATATATATTATGTTTTAATTTTCACAATATCAAAACAGGTTTTACCAAAGCAGGAAGCCTTTTTATTATTATTATTTTTAAAAAATAAACTAAACAGGTGCCATGGGAGCACTTTCATGGAAGTCTTGTTTTAGGGCCCTTCTTTTTACTGGTTCTCACTGCCTTTTAATGTTCTCTTTTTCTTTTATTTGTTTTTCTGTAATCATACCCAAGACTTTTTGGTGATTGCTTTTGTTGTCATTTAAAATCCCAAAGCAGAAAGACCACCACTAACCAGTGGAAGGGTTTTGTTTAGGGCAGTAGTTGGCAAACTCATTAGTCAACAGAGCCAAATATCAACAGTACGATTGAAATTTCTTTTGAGAGCCTAATTTTTTAAACTTAAACTATATAGGTAGGTACATTGTTATTAACTTAATTTGGGTACTCCTAAAGCTTAGGAAGAGCCACACTCAAGGGGCCAAAGAGCCGCATGTGGCTCGTGAGCCGCAGTTTGCCAACCGCGGGTTTAGAGTATGAGGTGTGACTACAGTATATAATGACTATAACTATAACATGTAGTTATGTGATTATATCAACACTAAGAATACGGTTGTTTGTAAGAATGCCTTATTAAAAAGATCAGCTATTAAGAGAAATCACTGTGTAATAAGATCAACCAGAGACAAAAACAGCTCTCATTTGTAAAAAAATCAGAAAAGGCATGAAATCAGAAAGTCAAATACCAGAAGAGAGTATATATTTCAAAATTTAAATTTCTGGGTTAAATATTTAGATTTGAATTTAAAAAGTGTAGTGACCATCTTTAAAATGTAATTTACTTAAACATTCTACTTTAAGGTTTGAGGTAATTGTCTAGGTCAGTGGTTGGCAAACTGCGGCTCGCGAGCTACATGCGGCTCTTTGGCCCCTTGAGTATGGCTCCTCCACCAAATACCACGTGTGGGCATGCACGTACAGTGCGATTGAAACTTCGTGGCCCATGTGCAGAAGTCGGTATTTTGTGGAAGAGCCACATTTAAGGGGCCAAAGAGCCACATGTGGCTCGCGAGCCAGTTTGCTGACCACTGGTCTAGGACTCTAGGTCAGCTAGGTCTGTAAGTAAACTCAGAAGTGTATTTTTTAGCTCAAGCAGGCATTAGCTTCACAGGTGAATTGAGGAGGGATGAAAACGAAAGGTCAAGCAAATTTACTCTGAAGAAAAAAAAGTGGGAAGATACTTCTATTTATTTCACATAAGGACAGAGTAGTAAATGTGATTGTTTTTAAGTAGTGGTAATACATCTAAAGCAGATCATTTTAATTCTTAAAGTTTATTGATCCAAAGGTCTGTCTTTACTCACTTGCTCATCCACACTGAAATATTTAGAGACATCAGCTTCTAAGATAGTTAAATACTAATAGTTAAATACTATAGATCCTGAGATTGTATTTGAGGGCATTTGTTCAGCCTTTGGACTTTACTTGACATTTAGGGACTGTGACCTGTTGTCTTTTATTTTGAAAAGAAAGCCTGGTGTTTGGGAAATTTGCATTTCATAGTAGAAACAGCGTTCTGGCTTAATTAATTTCTATCAAAGAAAAATTTTCATGTGCTTGTGAGAAGGACAAAGAAACCGAACATTCCAATTTAAGGAAGAGAGATTTACAATGAACTGGTTTTAAAAAAATAATGGGGAATCTAATTTCTGGTTGCCATATTATGAAAACTGTTTAAGCTGTTATCACAGTGTATAGGTTAGTCATCTGGATCATATATAATAGATTCTTGGCGATATTTTGAATCAGTTGTAATAATAATTAAAACTTAGTTGAGTATTTCAGGAAAAAACATAGGATAATTAATAGTTTTGTGTGAGTTAAAATCTTAATATTCAAAATGTTATATAACTTAAAATATTGAGTTATTTCTTTCTAGGTTATTTCAAGAGCAATATTACCTAGAAGTTTCCTAAGCCTAGTCTTAGCCTCACGTTGCCTTACCAGAAAGAAAGACTTAAAAAAGCTAAGAAATTGTAAAGGAGTTCTTGAGGAAGCACATGCTTTATTTTATTAAATCATTCAAGGTATACAATTCTATGACTTATAGGCAAAGAAACACAAATCATTTCACATATAGACAGGAAACACCTGATCTATCTATCTTTACATTAAAAACAATGCAAAAGAGCCCTAGCTGGTTTTGCTCAGTGGATAGTGTCAGCCACGGGCGAAAGGGTCCCAAGGCATGTGCGGAAGGCAACTAATCAATATGTCTCTCTCACATCGATGTTTCTCTCTGCCTCTCCCCCTCCCTTCCACTCTCTCTAAAAATCACTGGGAAAATATTCTTGGGTGAGGATTAACCAAAAAAATACTATTAATGTGTGACAATATGATATTTAAAATAATTAAGATTTATTTTGTAATGACACCAGTCATTCATCTTGTAAAGATGGACTTCAAAAGGATTAACATTCTGCTAGATGTCCGCTCTCCAGCACCAGATAATTCGGGTGTCAGAAAGTCACTGTTATCTGATTTCCATTTGTGGGAAAGAAAGATAAAAATACTTTGTAAATTAAAACACTAACCAAAGAAACCTCAGTTACCCAGTAGTCATGAGTGAAAATAAAATGTCATCCAATGTGGAAATAGGTAACAGAAAAGTTTAAGAAGATTAAGGATTGACAAAAAAATGTCTACAAATAACAAAACATTTTAATAGCACGTTTCATCATGGGTTTGTTCTGTCATTGAAATAGAGTGTTTTTCTCACTGCTATATTGTATTGATCAGCTAGCTCTGTCAGGATTTTTGGCTATTAGTCTCTGAATTAACTCATTGCCATTTCATCATTTTATTTTGTACTCACTAGCATGAGGCTGTTTTTGTTTCATTAATTAAATATGAATACATCACTCATGAATATACCATTAGAAGACAACCTGCCATAGCCTGAAAATTAAGATATGAGCCAGATGTCAAATGCTTAGTTCTGTATGCACTCACATATACTGACACATGTACACACAGAATAATCATCAGCTCTTACACTTCACTGTACTACTGTATTTAAGCTTTATAGTATAGTATAAGCTCAATAACAGTCTTTAGGCAATATTTAGCTGAGTAATATATTTATTTTAGAATTATTTAATGTTCAGTTTATATGATAAAGAAGATATGTATTATGTATATATAGGATGGTGCAAAAGTAGGTTTACAGTAGTTTGTATGGAAAATTAATAAATGATAATACAAGAATGAACTGTTTTGCATACTCATAACTGTAAACCTACTCTTGCCCAAACCTGTATGGGTATAGTTTACAGGGTCTTTAGCTTAGAAATCCTGTTGGTTGCCTGGGAATCAGGTGAACACATTGTTCTGAAACAAGTTAGGAACGCACATAGTAATGGAATGGACTATAAGATACCTCCCAACCCACACTGCCAAAGCCTGCCAAGCCTGGTAAACCTAGAATTTAGAAATTGTGTTTTCTGGACAAGATAGTGTTATTAATATGAACCATTCTTTGTTGTGGTGAGCTGGCAAGGCCATGGCATATTCAGCCCTAGGGCATCTTATGTGCCGTGCCAGCTCAGCCAGGTTCAGTGAGCCTGAGAGGGGCCGGTGAAGGATTGAGAAAAGACAGACAAGAGAATAAAAGCTGGGTCTGGGTGGGACGCTGTCCTCTCTGATGGAGAGACAGTGACAGTGCCCGCAAGCCATGTCTTTATTTTATAGCCAGATTCCACGAGGTAAAGTAAGGGCATGGTCAAGATGTTTACAATGCTCTAATCTACTCAATTACATGCATGTGAACTCTATCAAGCCCACATCACTCAGACACGTGGGGCCATGTGTTTGGACCATAGTTTCAAGCTTACAAGTATAGCTGTTGGTTATAATTGTGCTGGGAGGGCTTTGACCTCCAAGCTGGGATTTGCATGTGGCAATGAGAGGACTGTGCCCTCTCATTAGTCTGAGGCTTGAACCTGTCCAAACACTGTAGCCACTCTCCACACTTTGTTAATTCCTTCAGTCCCCTGTGGATTTTAGAATAAAATTTAAAGTCATTTAGGGCCATGGATTATTCAAATTTTTAAAAATCTGAGCTGATACTGTTAGAAATCCTGAATCAAAGCTCTTATTGAATTTGCTACTTTGTGTATCACTTGATATTAAAAAATAAATAGCCCTGGTGGGTGTAGCTTAGTTGGTTGGAATCCCATGCACCAAAGAGTTGCAGGTTTGATCCTGGTCAGGACTTATGTGGGAGGCAACTGATTGATGTTTCTCACATCAATATTTCTCTCTTTCTCTCCCTGTCCCTTACTCTCTCTCTAAAATTAATAAAAACATAAACTTGAGTGAGGAAGATAGATAGATAGAATTTTTTTAAATATATTTTATTAATTTTTTACAGAGAGGAAGGGAGAGAGATAGAGAGTTAGAAACATCGATGAGAGAGAAACATCAATCAGCTGCCAAGGTACATGCCCTTGACTGGAATCGAACCTGGGACCTTTCAGTCCACAGGCCGACGCTCTAGCCACTGAGCCAAACCGGTTTTGGCGAGACAGAATTTTAAAATGTACCATATTGGTTACTTCTGAGTGGAAACACTTTACCCAAACCTGCAGCTACTGTTTTCCTGAGTATCAACTGTGACTTCCTGTTCCCAGTGAGTTATGTGACTGGCAAAGGGGAGAATGACATCTAATTTTCTGGTGGTGACCTATTCTAGAAAACCCTCATTCATTTTTTTATTGTTGCTCCACTACAATCCTCATCACTCCCTTTCTCACTGAATAAATTGTAATATTAGTGACCAGAAAATGATTATAGTGGTTCCATGCAGTGGATGCTGCTGCAATTTGACCCGAGACAGCTGCCACTGGTAAAAGCTGTAACAGCAGAGAGCTGTGGAGGGGCTCAGGATAGGCCAGGGTAGCCTCCACAATGAGCCTTTTCTGTAACACTGTGACATGCAGACTGAGCCACCTAAGAAGGAAAGGGGCTTATGCTGCCTTCTTACAGTTAATTTCTGATTGTATTTGTCTCCATTGAGAGGTGTGCCTCTAAAAATGATCCCCAGGTCCTGAAGCTCATTTTTAAAATTGTCTGCTTACCTGCCCCGATAGAAATGTCCACATGAGACTGATGCCAAGGGAGATAACTGCCTCTTGACCCTCAGCATTACTGTCTCTGCCTGTCTCTCCAGTGGCAAGAAGGCTGTGAAACACGTGTTCCATGTCACAGCAGAGCGTGTTGAGCATCTACTCCCCAAAGAAGAGACTTTGGGGTTCCTTCCAGTTTGGGGATGGCATCCTTTTCGCCTTCCAGTCCCTGTACCCCAACATCTGCTGTCCTCTCCCTGCTCTCTGAGTTTGGACATTAACATATGCTGAACTCACTCCCATTTTCTCTTCATTTTATTCTCTTCTCACTGGCAAGCATCAATTTCTGTTCATTGACTTCAATATGAATATGGTAGCAAAATACTTGCTACTATGTCCTGAAAATTCAAATGTCTGCTAAATTTTAAATGCAGAAATCTGCCTAGGTGCATGAGATCTTGAACATTCATATGCCTGTGGGTATGTCCAAAGCAACCATTAACACTTCTTCCAAACAAGTAACTTCAGCAAATAAACTGTTCATTTTAATGAGATGCTGAAAGTTAATAGCCATTTTTCTTAAGCTGACTAATGTTTTATAATTAGAAGCTGTTACATAATTAGAACTGGACACCCACAGGGTGAAACTATTTTTATTGTGCTGGTCTTGACCTTGCTTTGTGATCAGGAAGCACTATTGTACTCTGTTCACTCTTAGGGGTTATAGGATGTTACGGCATAACATTATATATTGAGGGACACAAACCAGAGTAGCTCCTGTCCTCTATGACAGTTACATTTCCTGGTAATATCATTCTCTGCCAGCTAGTTACCACATCATAAAAAGGTTCTGTTACAACCGAGTTCACTATCTCATGGTTCTCTTATCCACAGTAACCCTGTAGTCCTCTCCCAGGGAAGGTAGCCTCTGCCCTGTGGGAAGTTGGCTCCCCCAAGACCCCTCAAAATAGATACTTGATGTTAAATAATTTAAAGTCTTAGACACAGAAGTAACCCTGGAGATGATTTAGTTTAAAAATCTAGTTTATACATGAAAAAACTAAAGATAAAAGCACTTACATAACGGAATTAAAACCACATAGCTACTTTGACGAAACTGAGCCCATTAGCCATCACCCACTTACTCATTCAAGTTCTCTGAATCCATCAGTTCTTTCCATTATATTCTGCTCTTGTTGTTTATGGAAGGTATGAATTGGGACACTGTATGTATCATCTTTTTAAACTATAAAAACATAACTCATAAACATGTAATACTATGTGGTCCATGAAGAAAGAAGAAGAGGAGACCAGCAACAGTACAATGATTGAAATTTCTTTTGAGAGCCAAATTTTTTAAACTTAAACTATATAGGTAGTACATTGTTAACTTAATTAGGGTACTCCTAAGGCTTAGGAAGAGCCACACTCAAGGGCCCAAAGAGCCACAGTTTTCCGACCACAGGTATAAGCTTTTTAATGAGTGGCTGATGCCTAATTCACTTTTATTACTTCTCAGAGTTTAGCTCAGTGCCTTGTACATAATAGGAATTCAATAAACATGAATCGATACACTTGAAGTAGTATTGGTCACTGTTGTGTTGGCTGCGTTATTCGGTGATAAGCAATTAAAGATATGATCTTATTGACTTTCTTTTTTATTACTTTATTTGCTCATGACTTAGATGTGGAGTATGAGAGAAACAGATGTGTCAAGAGTGAGTTCAAATTTTTGGCCAGGCCACCATGAAGAAGGAATGGCCATTTGCTGAACTAGAGATGCTCCAGTGGAAGTGAGGCTTGGAGAGAAACGAAGAGCTGTTCGGACGCTATTTTTATATATAGCTATTTACCAATTTACCTTAACAAAACTTAGGGATGAGATGTTGCCTTATATTTTTAATTCAACTTTTTACAAGAGAATTAGTATTTGTGGGCAAAATGTGACTATTACAGACCATTAATACTTTCAAATTACCTGAAAAACATTATATTTGGTGGCTTTAGGTATATTTATTTCAATCTCTTGATTTTAGTAGTGAACCTGTTGTGCCCAGATTTCAGGTTCCCCAAAAGACCACCAGAGAGCCAACCGAGTCCGATGCAAAAGCAAAAAGAGTCTTTATTCGAGCTAGCTCGAGCTCTCCGTCCACCACACTCGCCAACGCAGTGACAGGGGGCAGAGAGAGAGAGAGAGCCCTGTGGGAAGAGAGGTTTTATAGGGGGGTTGGAGTAAGGAGAGGAGAGAGGACTGTGGGCCCTGCCGATTGGCCAGGTGCAAGTTGGGGTCTTGTTACACAGGATGTGGTTGTGTCTATGGCGCGCACTTCCCTTGATTGTCATTGGTTAGTTTAAAGAAATCCTAGGTGTGGTTAGCAGAGGCTTGGGCTTCCGGGAAGAAGCTCCTTGCTGAGCACATGGCTAATGGCTGCTGCCCAAAAATGGAGGATCCGGGGCAAGATGGAGGGCATAGCCCTCGCCCTTTCAAACCATATGTCCTGGAAATTCCATGACATGAATATAAACCCCATGACAAAATGTGCTTATACATTTTCAAAAGTCAGGATTCTCTTAACAGAAATTAGCCTTTCAGTTTTAAATTATAATCAATTTTCTAAAATTGCTTTAGTTTGAGTTTTGGTTTACACTGACAGGCAAGAGCCTGTCTATCACTGCTTCCATACATTTTGCTGTGACCACTGAAATCTGTTACAATTAGATGTGAACTTCTGATATCCCCCATCTTTCTACACCCAAACCTATCACCCCACTTCCCTATTCCAGTATTATAGCAATTTATCCCATAGCCTATAAACAATTTAGATATATTGGACACCACCTTTTTCCAACTATAAAGAGTCTAATTTCTGTGTATGTGTTGACATTTTAATAGAAATTTTCTGAAGTTTTGTTTTTTGTACATGATAGTACAGGGAAACTCAAACATGAGTGGTTTCTGCAGAAAGATTCCGAAGGGGACACACCTTCACTTATCAACTGGCCTTCCAGGTATACTCCAAACTGAAACTCCTGTCTTTTGTTTCCTGAGTGCTTCTCTCCCTGCTGCCTTGCCTGCTGTTTCTCACATCACCCAGGGCTAATTCTCCTCTTCCTAATGGCAGTGCATTTGACAATCGTGTGTTCAGAAAGAGCTGCTGGAAGTTACTTCCTAATCATTTGCTTTTCTCCTTCAAATGTCCTAATCTCTCCTCTACTAGCATTTCCTTTTGCTCCTCTTTTTGAAACCTTTTTAATATACCTCTTGTTTTTGTCCTTATTGCCACCTCCCACACTGCCAGTCTACCTGGCACCTCTGGGTTGCTCCCCTCCTGAGGCCAGCTACTCAGCTGGTGTTCCATCTTGTCAACACTCCTTCACCAGCTACTCGGCCTCCTTGTTTTCATGTCTCCTCATCTCTAAACCAATAGTTAATTCTCCATAGTTAAATAGAGTGCCTGTGGTTTTAAAAGCAGACAAAACCCCCTATCATTTCATTTTTCAGATTGGAGGCAGGGAGAGGCGGAAGGAGTAAGAATGAATAAGTCATTGGCAAGACAAAGCACCCATATATTGAGTTTCTAACAGTCTTTGTTCTCAGCTGAGGACAACATTCAGATTGTCTCTGTTTAGAAGGACACATTCCACAGGAAAAGTTGAACCACATTTCAGTCTTCTTTTGATTAACAAAGCTTGTAAATATAAAAACATCCAACACTAGCTAGTCTGAGAAAAATAACAACTCAGAATCCCTTTTCCCACAAATCGTTCATAGTAACTGCCCTTCGTGTGTCTTCGTTTTTCTTTAGTGAAGTATATATAGATATTCTGAATCTTATGTTGGAAAACATGGAAGTGTTCACATCAAAGTTAGCAGAGTGAATTGATCATTTAAGGAAATAGTCTCTTCCTAAAGGTATATATCAAAAATAATTATTTTTGATGACTAATCTTAAGTAAATAAAGATTTTACATTCTCCAAGAAATCACTTTTCCTACTTCAAAGGCATACTTTACTTTAAAAAATTATCCCCAGTTAGTAATCCATTCCTAAGCAGTTAAAATGGTTTCTTGTTTCTCACTATGTGATATTTCAAAAAATAAAAATAAGAACTAGATAGGACTATTAAAGCCATGTGTTTTGCTAATATCAAGTTACATACATTTTGTCACTATTCTTTCCCTTTAAAAGATAAAGCACTAAGTCAGGTAAGTGCCTGAGACCACACAACTAGAACCAGCTGAGCCAGGCTTTGAACAGAAGTCTCCTCGGACCCCACCGCCAGAGCTCTCGGCTACTTTGTTTCTGCAGTGGTGGAAACAGAAAAGTAGTTTTTATAATGGATTCAAGTTTTGCTGTCAGAAACAACCAGAATAATCCCTTTTTACATTACTTTTTAACTAACAGCCTAATAGGAATTGCTATTTCAGAGGAGAGAAAATATTCAGTTTATTAATTCTTTCAACAATTATCTTTTCTCTAATATTCTTCTGAGTGCTACTTAGTAAAGGGTGTCCCAAAATTCACGCAAAAAGTAATTTTAATAGAAAACACAGGTTTATAATTAAAAATTGTAAATTTTTTATTGATTCATAAAGTATACAGTATAGGGTTATATATGGAATAGCATATCGGGTAAATGGCCTCCATGGCTTTGCTGGCACATACGCACTCTTTTGTTGAAATTTTCCATGACCGTTTTGCATAAATGTGGCTGAATTTCATTGATACAGCGCTCAGTTTCCTCCTTCAAGGCGTGGGTGTTCGTGAGCTTGTTGGAATAAACCTTAGACTTCAAAAAACCTTTCAACAAAAGTGCGTATGTGCCAGCAAAGCCGTGGAGGCCATTTACCCGATATTCTATTCCATACATAACCCTATACTGTATACTTTATGAATCAATAAAAAATTTACAATTTTTAATTATAAACCTGTGTTTTCTATCAAAATTACTTTTTGCGTGAATTTTGGGACACCCTTTAGTAATGATGACTAAACTGGTGACGTGTTTTCTGAATAAATGAATGCAGTCTGCATTGCATGAAAAGCTTGTGAATGTTGAGTTGTGTGCTTGAAAGAGGTGATTATTTGTTGTATCTTGAACTCAGAAATAAAGTAATCATGAATACTCTTACATTTCCAGAAGATGATAAAATCACATTTGGTCAGTAGGTGTAGGTATGCCTGGTACTACACACAGTCATATGCTAGGCCTGTACATGCAGAAAGCTTACTGTTCACAGCCTCAGCCCCATTGTGCCCTTGTGCATACTACTGGTGTGTATTCAGGGATTTTTCTGTGGCTCCTGGGTATCCATTTAGTTAGAAGGCATCCATTCTCTCCCAGGACAGCATCTGAGCTTTATGGGTAGAGTTAGTTTTGCACCACCCTGGAATTTGAATACACATTTGAAAACTCAATTCAAAATCATTTATTTTGCAAGCAGTGGGCTTCTGATATTAACTACCCAAAATGCTTCTCCACAAATTGTTCCCTCCTTGGTTTTATTTCCGTTGACTGGTAACCCATGATGCACGCATGCTTCCTTCCTGTTAAGTAGTTACTGCTCTTTGCAACTTAAACCTTTTTCTTTCTTAAAGAGTTAAAGTTAGAGAAAAAATGGTGAAAGAGGAGAGTGCTCGCAGCAGCCCTGAACTTGCCTCAGAGTCCTTAAGTCACAGGAGACGTCAGCCCATGCCGGGGCATTACCTGTCCTTTCATTCAGAAAACTCGGCCTTCGATAGGGTCACGAGCAAGGCAGCCAGCTCTGCACGACAGCTGATCCGTGGCTATGTCCAACCAGCAGATCCCGTGCACTCTGCCATGCTGGTGACCTCAGAAACCCCAGAAAGTGTGTCTGAGTGCAGCTGGGTGGGATCAGCCACCCAGAATGTCATAAAGCCTCCCGCCCTGAAGGTTCTCAAAGGTGAGAGAAGAGATACCCCCATTCTCCATATTTGTGAATCACAAGCAGAAGAGGACGTGCCCCTCACTGAAGCTCTCGAGAAAAGCAGGAAAGCACTATTGGCTTTAGAGGATGAAGGGTTTGAGAGAAGCCACGAGGACACTTCTGGAAATGAGGACTTTGGTAAGCCTGCCGCTCTTGACACCATCACCTTAGAACATCGGAAGGAGCCAGAAAGTCTTTCACACCCACCTCAAGCTCAGCACCAGTTCACTGAGAGAATGGGCAGGAGTGAAATGGTTTCCTATGTTCAGAGTGAGCCTGTATCCCAAGATGCCAGAGTGACAGGTCACAAAAAAGAAGCACCTAGAAGGAAGCGCAAGGTCCTCACCCGCTCCCTGTCTGACTACACGGCCCCTCCTCAGCTCCAGGCCCTGAAGAGTAAGCACCCAGCTGCAGAGGGACAGCTGGAGCTGCAGGGTACCAAAGCTGAGGGGCCCCTCTCGGAGCTGAGCGTGCTGGACACCAAGGTCTCTGTCGCCCAGCTCCGAAGTGCATTTCTGGAGTCTGCCAATGCCAGCAAGAAACCTGAATTGTAGGTGATGTTTCAAAAGTCCTCCTGATGTGTCACTTGCACGTCCTTGGCAAAATTATTAATTTCTCAAGTTGTATTGTGTCCTGCATTGAGTCACATTAAAGCTTAGCTCACAAATGTGCAGGGCAGACCATATAGGACATGGCTCCAAAACTACCATTCTGCTTTGCCTACTAACGGGGAGCTGCAGGATTGGGTCTCTGGAATGCACCATCTCCTTTGCATGCATGGGAAAGGGATGTAACGGGATTTGGTGGTGTCTGTGCCGTGACTCACTGAGATGCATAAACCTTTGCTTTATTTCCTCCCTCTC